TAAACCTAACCCTTAACCTAACCCTAACCCTAACGCTTAATCTAACCCTAAACCTAACCCTAAACCTAACCCTTAACCTAACCCTAACCCTAACGCTTAATCTAACCCTAAACCTAACCCTAAACCTAACCCTTAACCTAACCCTAACCCTAAACCTAAACCTAAACCTGACCTTTATGTGAATCGGCTTGCTTTAATTTTATTTTAATTTTAATTTAATTTATTTTTAATTTTATTTGTCGCGCTGCTGATGATGTCACGTACGGGCTTTGATCGGGCACGCTTTAGTGGTCCGCGGTTTTGACGGGTCACGGCCACGCCCACCAAGCCATGCCACGCCCATCAAGCCACGCCAACACAGAACTGGTAGTAAAAAAAAATTGGATCCCACCACTGCAGGGATTGTAGTGTTACACACTGTCTTAGGCTCCGGAAGTGTGTCTTAGACCACTCTTCTGAAATCTCATTGCTGATGAACCCAAAACTCAAAACAGCCTATAAACAGCCTATTTCCATCTTCATGTAACTGCATAGAAAGATGGCCTCCTTATCGGATTTTACAATGTTTTTGCATTCCAACTGAGGGTGAAACGGTTGTCTATCACTGTCCAAAAATGCCTAATATATCTTCAAGCTCTCTCAAAGTCTTGCATTGCCTCCATGGGATTCCTTATTGCAATTTTCTTCTTTTTATCATGAAATAATAATAATAATAATGGGAAAATTCATGTTTTTCTCCCCTCTTGTATTCTGGGTATGAATACAATGGGTTTCAGGACGAGGCAGTGTTTGATACAAGTTCCAGTTGTCAACGTTTTTTTGAGAAGTCCTTATACAGACTGCGAACTCAGAGAGATAGCAGGGCCATAGGCAACGAAGGAGGTCTGAGAAGCATCGTCCCTGAGCATTAAGAGTTCTGTTTCCTCACTAGGATACATGGCAATGTCCATGTCATCAGAATGGTAGCCTGACTGGTAGCCGCTGGTGGGATTTGAAGCTTCAGACATAACAGATTCGTTGCTTTTGCTGGAAATCAGCCCACTGGAAAACAAAACAAAAATAAAAATGGCTCGTTTTGCACCACAGTTCAGAGTATCTGTAATGGTGTGTGGGAACGGCCTTGGGGGGCAGAACTAAGAGATTCAGAATGGACAACTAGCATATATGAGATGTTCTAGCCCAGGAGTGGGATTCTACTGGTTCGGCTGAACTGGTAGCTCCGACTCTCAGCTGGGAGCTAACTAGTTCACTCCAACTTTCAGCTGTGCCCGCCCGCCCATCTCTGCGCTATACTAATTCTATATTCTCTTTTCTGAAGCCAGCTGTTTTCCTCCCCAGCAGTAATGCGGAAGGTGATTTATCTGCAAAAATGCATGCAGCAAACCGGTTGTTAAACCAATAGGATCCCACCACTGGTGGGATTCAGCCAGTTCGCACCTATTCGGGAGAACCAGTTGTTAACTTTCTAAGCAGTTCAGAGAACTGGTTGTTGGAAGAAATCTTATTTTGGTGTTTTTCCACTTTACAGGGCTAATCCTGTAAGGAAGGCAGGATGGAAACATTCTGGTGTTGTTTCTAGCCTAATCTTTATTGCTCTGCTTACAGAAACTGCCTCTCTGGTTAACCCTTACTACATTGTAACAGGTAACGCGAAGCACCCATCTACGTGAGTGATGTTGAGTTGGCCATGCCCGCTTGGTCACATGGCCACCAAGCCACACCTACCCAGTTGGTTATTAGGGCAGAGAACCGGCTGTTAAATTATTTGAATCCCACCACTGGATCTCACCCCTGTTCTAGCCCACAGAAGGAGAGGAATTAGCATACCAAATGCTTTTCTGGACTACCTGTTAGGCCTGCGGCCAGTTCCTTTTAGGATCTTTGGCCTGCCACACTCTCTCTTATTTTACTCTGCTGTTTCATTAGTGGGGAATTGGTAGGGGGAATAGTAAGGAGTAGAATGCGTTGTTATCAAAATTAAAAATTCCTTTCTAGAAACCAAGATCATCTTTTGTTTCCCTACACCTCTCAGCCTGACCGGAACTGGATGGGTGGAACTGCCAGTGTGGCAGTGGAAGATTGGACCATGGGATGGACTTGTGGGTGTGTGGGGGGGGGGCAAGATCTTGAACTTTCAACTGGATGGGGAAAACCAGGAAGCTTTCAGATTTGGGTTTTCCCAGATGTGCCAACATGGCTGTCTTCATAAATTGGCACTTTGAGGAATACTTTGCCTTGGACTCTGATTTAATTTTGGGTGATATTTGGAACTACCTCACAGGGCTATCAACATGGGGTTTTTGCCTGGGCCAACAAATATGGAGGACATTCTGCCTGGTTTGGTACAGGAGCCTAACGGGACAGATAGCAGATAGAAAGGATTGTACAATTGCAACCAGCCTGCCTTCCATTGAGGACTGGTTTACTGCAAGGGTCAGAAAGAGAGCTGAGAGACTATCTACAGACCCGTCACATCCTGGACATAAACTGTTTCAACTCCTCCCCTCAGGATGGCGCTACAGGGTATTGCATGCCAAAACAACTAGACACACAGATAGTTTTATCTCTTGAGCCATCACGCTGCTGAACACTTGATTCTCACAGCACTGTCTTATGTCTAAGTATATTTACGCACGTTGTATGGTCTTAGTATTATTATTATTATTATCATTCCCATCTTCTTTACTACATCTTCATATTGGTATTATCATCATTATTATGACTTGGCTGTTTTGCTTCTACACTTGAGAGCTTCTGCACCGGAGACAAACTTCTTGTGTCTCCAATCACACTTGGCCAACGAAGTATTCTATTCTATATTCTATCCTATTCCGTGTGGATGAAACACAGGGACAGATGGAGAAGCATCTCCATCTATCTGGGATGTATCCCCCTAACTGCCATTAGCAGCAAATAGTCTATCAAATTGCTACAGAGGGAGAGAGGGAAAGGATGCCAGAATAAATAAACACAGGATATAGTTGGACATGTGATTCCCAAAGTGGCATTGGAACACCAGGAAGTCAACATGCGGGTGGACATTTTCTTCCATCTCCCAACATCTTACAGCAAAACCCTAGAGTGTGGCATCATTGATGGAACATTACTGGGTAAGAAGAATAAATCTGTCCAAAAGAGAAGTGGATAACATAGATATATTTCCTCTCAAGTAGAGAATTTAATTTATTTTTGTATTTATTTGTATATTTATGTATGTATGTACAGTATCTCCCCCCCCCCCAAAAAAGACTTAACTGGAAAATAAGCTGTAGCATGATTTTTTCGGATGCTCATAATATAAGCCCTACCCCCCAAAAAATAAGCCCCAGTTAAACTCTTCAGCCAGACGGATGCATTTAGTACCGTATTTCCCTGAAACGTAAAACCTAATCTCCCTATTTTATGTAAGCCCCCCTGAGTCCCCGCGGGGAAAAGGGCGGCCTATAAATATTAATAAAATATCTAAAATATCTAAAATATCTAACCAGAAAATCGTTTTGGAGCAAAAAATTATTTTTTAAAAAAAAAATTCTTATTGTCGGTCTTATTTTTGGGGAAACCCGGTATGTATGTATGTATGTATGTATGCATGTATGCATGTATGCATACATTTATGTATATATGTATTTATTTATTTGTGTATGTATGTGTGTGTTTGTGTGTTTGTGTATGTATGTATGTATGTATGTATGTATGTATTTATTTGTTTGTTTGTTTGTTTGTTTGTTTGTTTATTTACTAAATTTAGTTTCCTCCCATTTTACCATAGGATAACTCTGGGTGGCTTACAGGCAAAAAATATGTCTATACATACACAATTAAAACATAAAAAAATTAACACCAAACATTGAAATCTAAGGACACATGGGGAGGGCGGGGCGGAGTTGAGGGAGGTGGGATCCATTGTTTCTCAATCAACCACCCCCATTGTGCTGTTCCCCCCCCTTTAATTTTTTATTGGGTACTACCTTGATTTATTTATTTATTTTAACAAAATGGGTGTAATGATTGTTTCTCCAGATTTACCTGAAGGGCAATGCCAATTCTTTTGCTTTCTCTTCTAACGCCTCTAGTTCTTCGGACGCGAGAATCATCCCGCTGTCTGTCTGATTTTCCTGGGGAAAAAACCAGGGAGGGGGGGAAAGGCTGTTTGGACAATCAATGGAAACGCAGGCAGACAGTCAGATGGGACGGACCAAAAGCACCCCAAAAAGGAAGAAGCTACAAAATGGACTTACATCTTGAACCACTTTTATGGTCGGTTCCACAGGCACAGATTCAAAGGTCTTGACACTCACAGGACGACTGTTCCTTCTACTTCCTGTGCGATGCTGACTAAAAAAAAGAAATAGATCTCTTGTTAGCGTACCGAAGCTTAGTAAAACTGGCTGGTCAAAATTTCACTTGCCTTCTGCAATTATTACCCAAAGGAAGCTTGCAGGCTACTTCTGCTGCCTGCTGGTCGCCTGCAATTTGGCAGTTCACTCCTGACCGGCTCAAGGTTGACTCAGCCTTCCACCCTTCTGAGGTCAGTAAAATAAGGACCCAGATTGTTGGGGGAGGGCAAAATGCTGATTCTGTAACCCACTTAGAGAGGACTGTAAAGCACTGTGAAGCGGTATATAAGTCTAAGTGCTATTGCGATTCTACCCCTCTTCTAACCCTAATTATATGAGCTACAGTAGCGCAGTGGTTAGAGTGCGGTACTGCAGGATACTTCTGCTGACTGCTGGTTGCCAGCAATTTGGCAGTTCGATTCTCACCGGCTCAAGGTTGACTCAGCTTTCCGTCCTTCCAAGGTGGGTAAAATAAGGACCCAGATTGTTGGGGAAGGGCAAAACGCTGATTCCGTAACCCACTTAGAGAGGACTGTAAAGCACTGTGAAGCGGTATATAAGTCTAAGTGCTATTGCTACTGTGCAACTAGCATCCCACCAAGCTGTGATCGTCAGCAATTTTGACCCCAGGCATCGCTCAAAAATTGCCAGAATCTCATATGATTTGAATTATTACAATTTTATCCAGTAGACAGAGGTACTTCCTATGGATTCAGTCGACCCCTTGCTGCATCTAAATGCTATACGGAGTCTGAAACCAGTATTAGATTGCATGAAGGGTTTGTACAGGGGTGGGTTTATGTGCATGTGTGAATATGTGCATATTTAGTGTCACCCTTTTCTGTCCCGAAAGGCTGCTTCTTGCACAGTCATAAGTCACATTTTTCATTGCCTTTGTAACTTTTAACGGTCACTATATGAACGTCTACTGCAATGCGCTCTACATGGGGCAGCCTTTGAAGAGTATTCGGAGACTTCAACTCGTCCAGAATGCAGCCGCACGAGCGATTGTGGGTGCACCTCGGT